GAATATAATACATGAAAGAAAGCCACATGATCACCTTACTAACAGCAATCAGTAGAAACTGATCTATTTCCCTGTCCAAATTGCCATGTAGCTTCCTAGATTTTTAAATGTATCTGTCCACCGAAACATTTTCCAGCCCAATGACTTTCCACTAGTATTGGTCACAACAAAGACTGATCAAAAGGACATTTATTCTAAATCAAGTAACCATTGTTTTGCTTTGTTTTTAACATTTCTCTTCTCCCTGCCATTACCTGATATATTATTCTTATCTCAGTCACTTTTGGGGCCAAGTCTATGGCCTATGTTAATGCTAATTTTCATCCCCTCTAAGGAATTAACAAAAAACCTACCATCTTATAGTCATTTAGTCAATGTTCTTTAAGACAGAGATTAACCCAATGCACTGTAATAAGTAACATGAAATTCAAGTAGAAACCAAACCACAATAGAGAAATAGATACTCTCATACAGCTCTAGTGGAAGATAACAAAGGATAGGCATAGAAAGCCTTACCACTGTGTAAGGCTCTTATTTATTAATTTCTAGGAATGTACACAAAGATGGAAAGAGGAAGATGTTCATGGCGAAATGGTTTATAATTATGAAAACAATCAAGAGACTATTTCATTGTGTAAATGTAAATATAATAAAATACTAATAATTTCTTAAAAATCAGGTTGTAGAACAATATTTCATGGCATAAAATGTGTTTACAATATATAGTTAAGAGAGAAAAGCAATGTGATTGATATTACATACCGTATGTGCTTTCAAAAGTATATATTTACTACAACCACCACCTTATGTTCAAACAAGCAGTGTTTGCACATAGAACTTTTTGGAAAACATTTCTAATAGGGTAGGTTGGCATAAAATTTAAAATCAATACAAATGCTCTAACCATGCAAGGCACCCAGGGGTGGGCAAACTTTTTGACTGGAGGGCCACAATGGGTTCTTAAACTGGACCGGAGGGCCGGAACAAAAGCATGGATGGAGTGTTTGTGTGAACTAATATAAATTCAAAGTAAACATCATTACATAAAAGGGTACGATCTTTTATTTCAATAGTTTTATTCATTTCAAACGGGCCAGATCCGGCCCACGGGCCGTAGTTTGCCCATGGCTTCACTATGATATGGTCTGGGTGGGGCACAAAGGGAAGGGCATGTGGGCCCTACTTCCTGGAACTCACACTGCAGGAGCGGAAATCCCTCCTGACACAGATACCTAAGAGAGTTACCAATAACTGAATTAATATGCTATTGCACCAAAGAGCTTTAAATTGCTGGAGCTGGTTAAAAATGCATTAGCTCTTCCCCAACAAGATTCTGAGAGCACAGTAAAATCAAAAAGGCTGCTCTGGCTGCCCGGCGAACTTGAAGTAATGAGGTCTGTGAGTTGACTCGTACAGAAGAAAATGATATTAAGCTTTCATGGAGGACAAATGAAAGTATCTACCTATAACCTCTCTGACAGCCAGAGATCCTTTGCCATTTAAAACTCTGTGGCTATGGTGCATTATTTCCAGGCAGCCAAGAGTTTAATAAGACTTCGCGGAGACACCTAACCTTCCAGTCACTGGCTGCCTGCTGGCAACCCTAAGGCGCTCGCTGTGGAAGCTGACAATCTGAGCTAACATCAGGGCACAGTTTTCTCAGACAATGGGGCACAGGTTGGCATAGTAATGTCTGCCTGCTGCCCCCACCCTCCTTCTCCAATCATGCACATTGCAGAATAGTCTTGATTCCAAGCCAATCGCAGCACCCAGAACCCTTGGGTGTTTAAACCAGCAGATTCTGGTGATCACTGTTCTCATGACTGCATGACTTGGATTCCCTATTGAATGAGGTGCTGCCCCTTTAGGATGATATAGGAGGATTTCTTTGAGCAGAGCCCAACCTGCTTGGCGCAGCCTTAATCCCCATCCCCTGCCCTCTCCACCCCCTGCATTCTGGTACTGGGATTAGGGGCTGGGTGTTTGTGTTCCTGCTTTTCTCACCTTCGTGCTTTATTCAGCCTGTGGCTTTCACCCTTTCCAGCAAGCCCACTGTCCTCCCTCCCAATTCTGGCATTGCTTCAGAGGTCTCTCTCTTACTAGACTGTAAAAATAGTAATGACAGTTACATAATGTGCTGGGCATTTTGCTAGGTGCTTTGCATGTCGGAACTCATTTTATTCTGCTCAACAACTCTAGGACATTAGTATTATTAAGACGATTATTACCATGATCATCACCATCATCCTAATTTTTCAGATAAGGAAAGTGAGACACGGAGAGGCTAAAGCAACTTGACCAAAGTATCACTTCCATGGGGTTGCAGGCATCAAGAGTGGGTTCACCCCTAAAGAAGTACTTAGAAGTCTTTAATTGTGGTATGCTACAGGCTTTTACAAGTACATAGTGCATTTCCTTCTTCACCTCACTGGTGGCAACAAGAGACTAACCTATCAAAAGTGCACAGGCAGCCTCCAATAAAGGTAGAGCTAAGCCTCCTACGAATGGAAATCCCTGCATAAATTCAACTTCCAGCATGGGCAAATGAACCAAGACTTCCTGGAATATAGGGCTGGATCTGATGCTCAACTCTCCAGGATCTACAGATCTCAGGACACAGCTTCTAATGGACCCAGACCTTCCCTAAGTTCATGGAGAATGTAGGCAGACAGGCTTGACCCAACTCATTCCAAAGGGTATCAGTCAGCTACTCCTCAAACCCAAATGCCTGGGCACAAGGCCTTGACATATTGCCTTATACCTCACATACCAAACTTGATATAATAAGTGTACTTAGAATTTAACCTCCCTTGGTGGGCAGATGCAATTTCCTATGATGTTCTCCTTGGACCTAGCAAGAGGTTCTAGCTATAAATTGTAAGGTATTGCCTACTACCAGGCCTGACCTACACCTCAGCTAATCACACACAGTCCTTGGTCTCAGTCCCCCAAAAGCAGGTGTGTTACTTCAGGTTCTGTCCAAAGGAGCATGTTAGTTCAATGGGCATAGAAGAGGCATGGCAGGGGTGGTCAGAAAAGAAATGCTCAGAGCCAACAATAATCATGGTCATAACTTGCATAGTTTTCCACATGTTCTCTGCTTTCTGGATGAAAAAACAAAAACCTCGGCTCAGAGAAGTTGAGTAACTTGCCTCAAGTCTCCCAGCCAGTAGATGGCAGCACCAGGATCTGAAGGCAGGCATTCTGTTTGCAGAGCCCCACTGCTATGCCATCTCAGTACACAGCCTGTGTTGGAACACCGGACATTTACCAGCAGGGAGGGTGTGCCAGCCAGGCAGGATTCTCAGCCCTGACTCTCCCTTCATCCCTTTTCCTGGGGACATTCTATCTGGAAATTTGAAAGCCTTTATTCTCACATGGATAGAGGTTCCTCCAGCCTCTTCTTAGAAGGAGTCTGCGGTTTTCACTGAAGACAGAACCACCCAAATAATTGCTCTTAGAACTATTTTGAGCTGCTCAAGTACACAACGTCTTCAGTGGAAATTCCAGACTTCTAACACTCAGAACATGGCAAAAATAAATTCAATCTGAATATTTCAGTATCTGATCTGTGAAATCAGACTCTGATGACCATTGACTGTTCCACCAACAGGAATTAGTTGCAAGTGACCTAATTGATCTTCTAGATGGGGGGTTTATATCAAACACTTGAATTGCTGATAAAGTCCTTCAGATACAATTGTAGTCATTTTTATAGTTGATTCTAAGCAGTAACAAAAAATGGGACTAATTACTTTGAGACATCTTATAGGCTGTGAATATAAAATCATACTGCCAAGAAAAGAAGGAAAAGTTTTTCAAAAATGCTGTGAAGTGAATTCAGCTGGAAGAAAGAAAGGAAGCCTTAATCTTCACTGTTTTATACCACATAGAATTTAAATATGACATGTTGAGAGATTATTCTAGTCACTCCGTTCTCAGTGTTATCGGGATGCAGGATTTGTCAAAGCACAAGTAGCATAGAATCTCTGAAGTCACACAGTTTGGCCCAAACTTGGTATTTGTCCAACATTTCTAATCTGCATGTATTGTGAATAGTAAAAACCTGGAATCATCCTTGACTCCCCCTGTCTCGTCCTTATAATCAGTTCCTAAATCCTAATAATTCATAGGTATTAATTTAGCCTGAATCTATCCAATTCTCTCCATCATAGCACCATCATACTTCACACTTGAATAACATCCACATTTGAATAAAGGGTTTAAATAACCATTGTAAAGCATGTATTTGTGCAGTAGGTTCTCAGAATCTCACAACTGAATACCCAAAGTAGTCTTCTAACTGGTCTGCTGACTCCAAGGTTACTCTCTCTCACTCTGTTCTCCACCCTGCCGTTCATGAGATCTTTTTGAAGTAGAAAAGGGATTCCACTGTTTAAACTCTTCCCTTGGTCCTTACAGTTATAAGCTCCTCTACCTGTCTACACAGCCCTCATCTGTTGTAGCTTACTTTCTTGCTATCACATGTCACTCCAGCTAATTCAACTAACAGCGGGTCCCAGATGCTCTCTTGCTTTTCTTTGGAATGTCCTTTTCCCTACCCTTATCCTCAGGAAGATAGGCAGGCATAGAGAAGGATAGCTGAAGCTGGAACTAGAGGTGGATGTGGCCAGACACACACTGTGATGCGTACAAAACTCGGTCTAGACCAACGCCCACTAAGGCAATCCCTGAAGATGGGTTTCAGGGGAGACGTTGAGAGTGGTATTGCAGGATGTGCTTTGCACTTTTCTATATGGTTTAGATTTGTTTTATAGTGAATATGTTTAACTCATCTGTCTAGATTTTTAACTACATTTGATCATCCCCATTTCCAGATTTACTGATTCAGTGGAAAAGGGTCCTGAATTCTGATCTTTCAAAGATCCCCAACAGAATATTAGCCAAATTTGAGCACTGTGCTTGAAATAATTATTTCCCATATAATAAGGCAATTTAACATTTTTGCTTTTTAAGAAAAGCTCCAACTCTGTTATATAGCCATTTTTACATTTTCTTTTATTTTGTAATAGCTTAATTCTACTACAAATACACATTCTCTAAACATATTAGATTTGAGTTATCTGTAAGAAACATAATAGATTTGTCAGCCACCTTAACATCCATATTTGAATAAAGGGCTTAAATAACTATTGTAAAGCATGTATTTGTGCAGTAAGTTTCACAACCCATTTTAAACTTAGGGCAAACAAGAAAAACAAACTACAAACATTAGGGTTTCTTAAATTCTTAAACTGTCACACTAACTTAAATATCATTTGATTGAACCTCAAAACAATGTATATCCTCAAAATGTAAAGTAGGAAGCTATTACAAATATCAACTTTGGTATAATACATACCTATTTCACTAAACATTTTAAGTTTTTGACTTTGTTTTTATAATTACCTTTTGAAAATATTTATAATGCCCTATAATTCAGATATCAAAGCATCGATTTCATTAAACTTGTTAGTTATATTTTCAATACATTCCCCAGCTTTTAATTTTATCCCGTCAATTATAACATAGTCCTCTTCACAGTGGTTTTCAAATGGACTGCTTGCAGAAGCGTCAGGGCCCCACTGAGGCAACTGTAAAAATAACCACACAATTCATCAGTACTACTCAACTGTATCTGAAGACTAGGTTCAGTTATTTGAACAAAACATAAAGTAATTGGTAAGTCTTGAACCACAGCAGTTACACAAAGTTTTCTGTTATGGTGGTGGTCAAAAAATGATCCCTATGTATAGTATAATGTATAGTAAATGTACTATAAAACTTAGGTCTTGCTGAAACCGGTTTGGCTCAGTGGATTGAACGTCGGCCTGCAGACTGAAAGGTCCCAGGTTTGATTCCGGTCAAGGGCATGTACCTGGGTTGTGGGCACATTCCCAGTAGGAGATGTGCAGGAGGCAGCTGATCGATGTTTCTCTTTCATCAATGTTTCCAACTCTCTATCTCTTTTCCTTCCTCTCTGTAAAAAATCAGTAAAATATATTTCAAAACAAAACAAAAACAAAACAAAAACAACTTAGGTCTTGTCTGTTCCCCAACACTACACTTTTAGTTTTAATTTTATATTTTGAAAAAATTGGATCATTTTAATTCTGTGAGTTTTCTATATTTGTTTACTTTTAAAACTATTATTATAGGGAATACAACTTAAAGCTATTTTAGTCACATTTTCTGTGGTCATCTTCTCACAAGCATCTGCATTCCTCACAAACAGTGATAGTTTTCTTAAGCTTGTTTAGACAGGACACTGGTAAAAACAATGCAAACATACGCATACATGGGAGATTTATAACTTCAAGGTTCATTGGAGTTAACTTCCCAGGAAATTCAAGGAAAAAATGTAAATAAGTATTTTCATATATCAAAAGTATACTATAATATAAATAATTATTAAGTAAATGGTTTTCTTTGTAAATGGATTATCTAATTTATAAATTACTCAGATGGATTTTATAAAAATCTGAAATGAATCCCCTCCCATTGCTTGCCAAGTCAGGACATGTCGACCTGTGTTAATATTAGCTAAAGAAGAAAATAATCAGGAAGGTGACTCCACTGAGGAAAATAATCTAAGTATTTCAATGACAAATAGAAATAAATTCTGATTTTCCATATGTATGCTGTTTTCATGTTGCTACTCTCATCCATTAGTATAGATGCTTGCGAGAAATCAACCTGAAAACTCATATGTGAAGTGAATGATGAAAACATCATCAAATTTACAACTTTGAAAATAGCTCAGACAATATTTGCTTGGAGTATGAACATGCTCAGAACTTTAAAGTTATCAGGTGGTTCTTTTTGGTGGATTAGCTTATAAGAGGCCACTTTTTCCAAAAAACAAAATGCAGCTCCCATTTTATGTGGGAAAGGAAGGGAGGGAGGGAGGGAGGGAGGGAAGGAGGGAGGGAGGGAGGGAGGAAAGAAACCCCTGAGGTGATCACTTCTTTGCGTTTAAAGTGGAAGTCACTCCAGCTTTGATCATTGGTTTCATTGCTATTCTCCTTGCATAAAAGTGAACAAGGCCCTACATATCCTGAGCCTGGTGTGAATGCCAGACGTACAAAGCTCAGTGTGGAGAGTGGCTTATAAACCAGTCGGCAGGAGGCCTTCCCCTGCCTGCCGGCAAGTTAAAATGGTTAATCTTTACAATTCCTAAATGCCTTTTGAGAGCATATAATATTACAAGAATCTAAAACAAAAAGCAAGCTCTTGCCTGGTGATGTATTAAAACTATGTATTTTACCTGAAGAAATAAAAATCAGAAGTAATTCTCTGTTTTATCAAGTTACTAGTTATAATGGCAAAACAGAAGCCAATTCTGTGACTGTAAAAGCCCCAGGACATCTCTATAAAAATCAACCTGGCTGTTTTTTGAAAAGACAAACTGCAAAGACTGAAAACACATTGTACAGAACCATATGGTGCTCAAACAAAACACACATTTGCTAGAAAAGAAAAATGTACAGTAATCTATAATAAAAGGGTAACATGCTAATTAGACCGGACGTCCTTCCTGACGAAGCCGGGCTAGAGGGAAGCCAGCTCCGGTCCTGGGTGCCTGAGGGCAGCCCAAGGGAAGCCAGCCTGGGTCCTGGGTGCTGGAGGGAAGCCGGTGCCGGCAGCCGGGATAGGAAGGCCTACTCTTGCACAAATTTTCGTGCATCGAGCCTCTAGTTAAATATAAGATACATCACTAATCTATAGATCTTGTTCTATAAAAGGTGAGATACAGAAAACAAGTTTTTTGAAAAAAGGAACTCTAAATGGAAAAATAGCATTTTCAACTGATTAAGAAAACCATCATGTTTTTCAACTTAGTAAGAGTTTTTAACATTAATTTTACATATTTTTTAACACACTGATCTCCTTAATTGTAAATTCTGTACATTCTCTTGATTTCTAAATCAATAAAGGAGGTGTTTAAGAATCTTCTTTATTGTTGTTGAAGTTATGAATAAAATCATGCAATTGGGCAGTCTTCCAAAGTGTGTATACAATATTTTCATTTTGGGGGGGATGAGTAGTTAATCAAAGTGAGAATGTGGGGAAAGAGATAAAGTAAAGATATCTTTTCACTCATTCTCTTTAGTGACCGCCATTGCCATTTCTCACCTATAGTAACAACTAACCTTAGAAGTCACTACGTGGAGCACTTTTCCCAGTTTGTCTTATTTAACCCTCCAAACAATCCTCTGAGGCAAGTGATGAGCAACTTTGCCAAATTACAGGAGTCGTCAATGGCAAGACCAGGGCTAGGACGCAGGCATTATATTCTAGAGTCAGTGCTCCTAACCACTGTGCGCTGGACTCCAGACCCACTACCTATCTAAATGATTGAATGAGAGAATGAATAACGCCATAAGGGTACCTGACTCCTCGCTGCCATTCTTCCTAACTCAGGGAACAGCTATGCTGCCTGTGGAAGGGGCTGCCTTATGACTTATTTTTTTCACACCTACCACATCGCTGCTCTGTATTAATGACCTGGGAGTTTAGTAAGACAAACCAGGAAAAGATACACGGAGCTCATGTGCTGAGCAGTTTATCAACCAATTTAAATTTCTGTTGTCATATATAAGTATTAAATAAAGTTAAGGACACATGGCCTTTCTCAGCCCAACATGTTGGCCAAAAGGAAAAGAAGGACAAGTCTAGATATGAATGGTGAAATGTATTTCAATAACAGATTCTACCCTCGTATTTTAATAATGGAGCCTGTCCCTATAGAAGCTATCCCTCTGCATGAAATAGAGAGGGCAGATTTCCCCAGCGGCTCTAACCCCAGCGCCCCTCCTGACTGTGGAGACTGGCAGTGCGGAGGAGACCTCTTTAGTAGCATTCCATTCACTACATCAAGCCCCTTCCATCTCTCTTCTATTTCAACCTCAAAGATCTGAAACAAAAAGAGCACCTCTGCTGAAACTCAGGTATTTTTTCAAAGACTGATAGGTCTATTCTGATTTCTCAACAGGCTACTAGTTTACCATTCAGCTCATGATAATCAAGGGCTCAAACTTGAGAAGTGAGAAAGGGTTTCCATATACTTAAAATGTCCACCCAGGAACAATCTCTGCCATGTAAAGAATTTGAAGTGGTTTCTTATAACTATTAATATTACCTTTTCTCCTGTATTTATTTCCTCCCCACGTTCCTCTTCAGGATCATCCGGTGTTGCTGTGGGTTCTAGAGCTTGCTGTAGCATTTGCTCCAGTTCTTTTAGTAAAACTTCTGTCTCAGAGACAACTAAAGAAACATAATTAATATAGTAAAAAAATGCTACATCTTCATTCAATCTAATTCCTAATCTTAGCCACCACAAAAGAGGAAATCTTCCAAATGTTACAAGAAAAGAAATAATATTTTGTATAAATTTCACATATGCCCTCTACTTGACACAAAATTGTTATAGATTTCAAGGTGAATATTTTACAATTATTCCTTGAAAAATGTAGATGACATTTTTGCTATATGTTAAGTACCCCAAAGCAACAAAAGCTCACTAAAATGTGGTGTGCTTTTTTTTTGAATCAGGAACCAAGGACACTAAACTAAATTATGTTATTAATAGACCAGGGGTCAGCAGACTTTTCCTGTGAAAGGCCAGAGAGTATATTTCAGGCTTTGTGGGCCAGATGGTCTCTGTCACAACTACTCAATTCTGCTGCAGTAGTGCAAACCATAGACATGTACACTAACAAATGAGAGGGACTATGTTCCAATAAAATTTCATTTATGAAAACAGGCAGCCAACGGTAGGACTGAGGGCCACAGTTTACCAGTCTCTGCAATAAATTATTAAAATTACTCTTTAAAAGGGAGCCATATGATTAAGTGGCTAGGCTAGACACAGGCTAGTTTATTCCTAATCCAAATATCAACACATCTTAATTGCCTAATCTGATATTTTTTTAAAAACACACTTAAAAGTTTTTTGTGTGTATGCTACTGTGATAGGAATATATTAAGTTGGCAAAAAAAAAAAATCTGATAATTCACTGAACTTGCTGAGATAACACAATACCCCCCAAAGAAATAAACACCTATTATAACTCTATAGACTCAACTACTGATTAACAATATGCAACTGAATTTCTGATTTAAGTAAAAAAAAAGCACTTTCATTTGCTATAGAGTCTTGTTGAGGTAATGATCAAGGAAAGGAGGCCATGTGGAGCCTGCTGTCCCGCACAAGAGACAGATGGAGCACCTGAGAAGTCCTTCCAAAGGCAACATGATTCAAAGAGAAAGGCCATGAATACACATCCCATCCCCTTGCACTCTGGTTACAAAAATCTGACACACCACCTCCTATTATCCACTGTTCATTGGCAGACCACCACAAATCACACTAATAGAACAGCTGAAAGTTTATGGAACATGAAAATAGACCCAGCAAGATACACACTTTAGAGCTCAAATATTATCATTGAATACAGAAGCAAGGTGTTCCCAGCAATAGCATTAATTTTTACTGTAACTTTTGAATGCACTTAAATTTTTTTTATTAATACTGTTTAGGAAAAGTGAGATATATATCCATATGAGATTATAGCCACACATGCACGCGCGCACAAACATACTTGTAAAATAAGCATGTTGTAAGGTAAAAAACAAAAATTATGTGAAAAGTTTGATGCATTGTTTCCTTTTCTCGATTTCAAAAGAAGCCATACTTTATTGCCATCTTTGTTGATAAATTTCTCTTACCTATTATTTGTAAGAAAGAAATTTTAAAATTCTGCTAAAATACTGTTTATTAAATAATGGTGTTAAATAAGATCATGGAAGATTATTAAATAGAAAGTTTTCCTTCCCTGGTTGTTCCTATAATACTGAAAAAACAATTTTTAGTTTACATTTTTCACATTCCAATTTTTAATTATTTTATTTTTTAGAGAGGAGGAATAGGAGGGGGAGAGAGAGAGGGGGAGGGAGGGAGGGAGGGAGGGAGGGAGGGAGGGAGGGAGGGAGGGAGGGAGGGAGAGAGGGAGAGAGAGAGAGAGAGAGAGAGAGAGAGAGAGAGAGAGAGAGAGAGAAAGATGAAAGAAAACATCGATCAGCTGCCTTCTGCATGCCCCCTTACCAGGGATTGAGCCCACAACCCAGGCATATACCCTGACTGGGAATCAAACAGGCTACCTTTCCTTGCATGGGATGACGCTCAACCAACTGAGCTACACCAGCCAAGGCACATTATAATTTTGTCTACAAAAGAAATTTTTCTGTCCACATTTACTGCTTTCCCCAATTTCCTTTATATTAAATCAACAAATATTTATTCTGTGCCTACTAAGGGCCAGGGACTCAAGAGAACAGGTGTAGACCAATAAGACTTCCTGGCCCTCATGTCTTCACAGACAATCTTGGGGTTTTTCAGAACAGCTTGAAAACAGCATTCTGATAAGCCATCCCACACTTTAGGACCAGTTCCTATGTTCAAAAATAAAACAAGCAAAAACTTTAATTGATATGTTAGTTTCAGCCACATAGATCTGTGTTCTAGGGTAACTGCTGAAGCCTAAGAACATGAAGTCTGAACTATTACATTATAGAACGATGGTATTCAAATTTTGATGGGCATAAGAATCACCTGGAAAGTTTATCTAAAAATATGAAAGCTACCCTATATCCAGAATTTTCTAGAGGAATGTACATTTTTGCTGAAGCACTTTTGTTAATGAAATTGACCTCTATATATGACAAACTTTTCACTTAGTAACCTGTTACTTAACAGACCACTATTTGTGGTTACTTTACACTGATTCTCCAGTCCTACTCACAGGTGTTGTGTTTTCCTGCTTTACATTCTGAATCTAAGGCTATTGACACTGACATTTAATGCATGGTTGAGAAGATGGATTTTGAGCTATGCTGTAAAGGAAAAATGGCACAAAAACATCTTTATATTTCTAAAGCTATGCTAAAATACAATCAATTTATGATAATGAACGTCAGTGCTGAATGGCATTGTAGGCTCTCTGCTTTCAAGTGATCTGGAAAAATACGTACACTGCTTTTTGAACAAGGGTAAAGTAATGGATGACTTCATAAATCAACCAGGGTTCATAATACCAACTTGACGGATGTCAAATCCTGTTTCCAGAGCCACGGGAGCTTTGCTTTTCTAAATAGGTATTCCTATTTTGTGAACTGATAGAGTTCAAAAATAATTCTCAAGAAAGAGCAGTTACTGTAATCTAAAAACTAGGTTATCAAAATTGGTCAATGATAGTTTCCAAAGATAGAGACAGAATGAATGCCTTTGCTGATTGCATGACCAATCATTTTCTATCAATACTGATTATCCTGTAGTTTCCCTGACTTCTTTGAATTTGTTGTTCAGAGTAAAGTGATAGCGTTACAGCTGCTCCATCACTCAGAGAAAGTGAAAAAGAAATCTCATGCTGAAGTCCACATCTGGCTTTTAAAAATGAAGTTTTGTAAAATAAATCAAATTGTTTTTCCATTCTCAATGAGAAAGCTGTTTGTCTCAATATATCAGTCATTATTTTAAAAGCTTTCAAATGTATATTTATGGAGTTTTCTTTCAACTCTACTTCTCTATTAAATGTTAAAAGAAGCTGTTTCCATCCTATATAAAGAGGCTACTGGTTGGGTCACCCCAAAGCTGGCACTAAAAAATATCATCCCATTAATAAAAGCCTAATATGCTAAGTGTCCAGTCATCTGGTTGGCCGTTCAAACAATCAAAGTGTAATATGCTAATGATAAGCTAAGGCCGCTCAACCAACTCACTATTACATGCACTGACCACCAGGGTGCAGACAGTCGACCGGTCGACCAGTTGCTATGATGTGCACTGACCACCAGGAGGCAGACACTCTGACTGGTAGGTTAGCTTGCTGCTGGCATCTGGCCGATCGGGACTGAGCAAGATGGGCTGGACACACCCTGGAGCCCTCCCGCGGTCTCTCCCCAGCTGGCCACCTCCCACATCCATCCCCAGCCCCAATCATGCACCAGTGATGCCCCTCAGCCTGGCCTATGCCCTCTCACAATCTGGGACCACTTGGGGGATGTCAGAGAGCCTGTTTTGGCCCGAGGCAAAACGACCAGTCACTATGACGCACACTGACCACCAGGGGGCAGACTCTTAATGCAGGAGCTTTACCCTGGTGGTCAGTGCATTCCCACAGAGAGAGTGCTGCTCAGGCAGAAGCCAGGCTCATGACTGGCGAGTGCAGAAGCGGTGGTGGGAGCCTCTCTCACCTCCGTGGGGAGCAGGCCTAAGCCAGCAGTCAGACATCCCTTGAGGGCTCCCAAACTGTGAGAGGGTGCAGGCCTGGCTGAGGGAACCCCCCTGAGTGCACAAATTTCATGCAACTGGGCCTCTAGTGTTAAATAAATTTGCAGGGACATTTCAATAAGGACATTTAGAAGGCATTCTTACAGAAAACTTGGTTTGGGTTTGATTTTGAGTAACCACAAACACTCCTCTGTCTGCTTACAATGAATACAGAGATGAGTAAAATACAGCGTGAAATGTAATGAAGAAGACAGCATCATTCCTGGAGACACAAACAGAAATTGGAAGCACAAGGCTTTGTACAAGGGGCATGAAGACCAATCATATCTTACCAAGTGGTAAGATTTGTCTTGAGTAGTAAGATATCACTTCTCTCCTTGTCATGCCTTCAAGCTCCAAGGTCTTCATGCTCTTGCTAGGACCCACCCCATGATGCAGACCTTTCCTATATTAACATCCCCTTCCATGCTTACATGTCCCAAGTCAATTATGAATATGCCATTTTCTCATTTAACAATGAATGCTAATAGATTATTAGTTTGCCCTGAGTAATTATTAATATGTCAATATCTTATTTAATCAAACTTTTATAGACTGTCTATTCACCCAAAAGAAATGAGCTATTTACCAACAGAAAATAATGATACAATTTGAAAAATGATAAAACCTCAAATATTAAAAGAAATAAAAATCAATTCATTAAAGGGGATACTAATGGCAATAATTACATTTTAAAATGCTTAGACCAGTAGTTGTACCAGTGGTGTACATTTAAAAAAAATAGCTTTAAGGTTCCTGGTACTTAAAGCAACCAAAGAAATAGCTGCACACTTTGATTAATTTTAAGAAAAATGTGACCCTAGAAAAGTCATGTAAACTCTTAAGTGCCTCAGTTTTCTCATCAATAAGATGGGAGATATAATATCAACCTCATACAGATCTCATAAGGGTCAAACTAATACATAAAATACTTAGAAGAGTGAGGATATATAGAAATTGTTATAAGTATTGTTTTTCATTGCTATTATTATTGCTATTTATATTTCATCATTGTAGATACATTTTCTTGTCCCTAAACACTGGGGAAAATCAATTATAGGGATAATACAAATATAGGGTTGGGCAAAAATAGGTTTATAGTTGCTCACATGGAAAATAATACAATAATTAATAAATAATAATACAAGAATAAACTCTTTTCACATACTCACAAATGCAAACCTACTTTTGTCCCACCCTGTATAATATATGATATTCCTGGTATCAATTTTCCAAAAAATACAGACATGTTCCACAAACAGTTATATCTTAGATTAAATATTTACATAGTGGTGGGTATACAGTTTAAATTATTTAATGATTCCTCAACTTTTTCTTGACTATTCTGTCCTTTTGCCTCACAAGAATTAATTTATTGCCAGAAACAGTCCTTTCCATGTTGGATAAGCCAGATTTCACTGCATCTCTTTTTGTTTGTTTGTTTGTGTGTTTTTTTTAATATATTTTATTGATTTTTTACAGACAGGAAGGGAGAGAGATAGACAGTCAGAAACATCGATGGGAGAGAAACATCGATCAGCTGCCTCCTGCACATCTCCCACTGGGGATGTGCCTGCAACCCAGGTACATGCCCTTGACCGGAATCGAACCCGGGACCCTTCAGTCCGCAGGCCGACGCTCTATCCACTGAGCCAAACCGGTTTTGGCTTCACTGCATCTCTTGCTCTTGATTACAGATGAAGAAACTGATAGTTGGAGAGTAGCTGCACTTAATTAGTTCTCCTCCTGATCTCTAAGGTGTGTGTGAGGCTGACAATTGGTAAAGAATCTATATATATAAAAAGCCAGCAACCAGAACGCTGTAAGGACCAGAACAACCCATGGCTATGACACCCACTGTGGCTAGCGAACCCGCCCGATGGGGGGGTGGGGATGCTGGCCAATCTCACGCGGCCCCTCCCCCCAGCCAGCCTGGCCCTAATCGGGCCCGATCGGGGTGGGCCTGCCAGCCAACCTCCCACCATCTTCTCCTCCCCCCGACAGGCCTGGCCCCGATCCACCCCAATTGGGGATGGGCCAGCCAGATCCCACCCATGCACGAATTTGTGCACTGGGCCTCTAATAACTTCATAAAAGAACAACAAATCTGGAGTAGTAGACTAATAGGAAAGATGGTCCAAAAAGTAGGGCTTGCAGAGATTCCAGAAGAAGATGGTATAATTTTCCTGTATTACTTGATCTAGGGTTGATTCTGCCTTAAGAATACATGTGAGATATTGGAGGCTTGCATTTAGGGATCCATAGAAATATAGGTAGCAGGTAAAATATTTGAAGAGGGTTAAACTACTATTAAATAATTACTCTCTCAATATGTAGACAGCTCTTGCAAAGAAAATTGTAGGCTAGATGTTTCTGCTCTTCAGATGTTCAAATGAGATGGAGGAGTAAAACACAGATTAGGCTATTTTAACAATTAACCATTGAGACTTTTAAAGCCACACAGAATGTGAGACTCCTGAAAAAGCTTCCCTTCCCATGGATCACTCCTGAGATGAATTCACTCGCTTACACAGAAGAGTCACTTCCCGTCAATGAGCTCCTGGCTGCACTAGGTTTCTTGTGCAGTAACCCTTGCAAGCTCGAGGGTAGAAGGATCCCAGCGATGGGGCCCTCAGCTGTGGTGCCAGGTCTTCCTAGTGGAAACTCAGTCATGGATAAGCTACAGGAATATCTGAACTGATCTTGTGAAGCAAAGGGACAAAATAGCCAAAAAGGGCATCTTAATTAAAAGGAAAGAAGCAGCCAAATAAGAAGAGATAGAAACAACAGAATTTTGTAGTAGTTTAAGAGAAGAATAAAGGATTAAAAGTAACAATAACTATCCCAACCTTTCTCTGCCTGTTTTTCTTTCTTTCAATGAGACTATAAGTAAGTGACTATTTAGCTAATTGAAACACAGTGCCATAGGATCTGGGGGTGGCTACTAGTGAAAGGGAGGACGGCATGAATAACTTCTGGAGGTTCACTGTGCTTTGAAACCTCTGTAAGACTGCCTAAGTTCCAACTTGCAAATAAGCATTTGCCTGCTTTTCAAGGCACAAAAATGTACAAAGGGTAAAGCACTTTTGAAATTAAAACCTTCTCCCTGCATTCCACATTCACCTACTGTGTTCTAATACCAACGGCTATTCAGCTGGGAGCCCCAGGCTGCCACTTTTCTTCCTTCTCTCCCTTTGGCACTTCACTCCATTTGGAATGGAGAGGTCTGAACTGAAATGTATTTTTTCTGATATTTCTTCCCACAACTGCTGGTACTTTATTTTAAAAAAAGTTATTTCCAGAAAGTCTTCTCCATGTTGGATAAGCCGGTTTTCACTGCATCTCTTGATTACAGATGAAGACACTGATAGTTGGAGAGGGAAAGTAGCTGCTCATGATTAGCTCTCCTCCTGACCTCTAAGGTGTGTGTGTGTATGGGGGTGGGGGTGACAATTGGTAGAGAATAACTTCATAATGGAACAGCAAATCTAGAGCAGTAGACTAATAGGAAAGATGGTCCAAAAAGGAGGGCTTGCAGAGATTCCAGAAGATGGTACATGCTAAAAACAAGAACAGTTAATTCAAAGGAATAGAAATGTAAAGACAATTGAAAAGCCCTAGAATGTAAATCAATACTCAAAATAACCCACTAATGTTTCTCAGATATGTATATATTATTTTTCTTCAAAGGACTACAACTATATTTGGTAGTATTAAATAGAAGTAAAAGAGCTAAAAGTAGGACAGGCCTTCACATACCCATATTTTCCTTTGATAAGGCATCATCTGTACAAACATTTTCAAAACAGCATTTTAAAATAGCTTTCCTAGAAAAAAATATGACATAGTTAGTTTCAAATAATCTGTCATGTATATTTAAATGACCATTTATATATATGCATTGGTAATCATAAATTATGAATATATATTTACTTTAAAGTACTCTTCCTTGTTTTATACTGTAAGGCAGTATGATACAGTGAAAAACCAAAGGGAAATAGTATTGATTTGGGTTCTCTCTAGGTGAAAAGCACTAATAATCTACCAAGCACCTTACATAGGCTTTTTCATGTAATCCTTCCCCCAGAAACTTACTAAGTAATTGTCAGTCCCATTGTGTAAAGAAACCGAGGCTCTGAGAAGTTGAGCAACTTGACAACATAGGTAAGTGGTTGAGCATGACACACTAAATTCTGTCTGACTGCAAAATCCATGCTATTCCACTACATGGTGTTGCTGATTAAGAGTCAGAAAACATTTGTCCAAATACATTTTCTCTAACCATAAGATCTTTAAAAAGCCACTTAGCTTCTCTAAGCCACAAGTTCTTCACCTTTTAAATGGAGATGACTGTGGTACTCTCCCTACCTATTTCGATGGGGTTACTGGGAAATATAAATGAGATAAGGCATTTTTAAAATCATTTTTAAAACTTTAATTATTCATCTTCTGAAAAAGGACTATCAGAGTTAGTCTTTGTGTAGGACTCACTTTAACACAGTACTGATTACCATTCATTAAAAATAAATAAACAAACAAACAATGGCTGGTTCAAAGATAAACACTAAAATTTGTCATCAGTGCTTATTAATTCACTAGAGGCCCAGTGCACGAAATTCGTGCACCTGGGAGGGGGGGATCCCTCTGCCCGCCCTGCACCCTCTCCAATCCAGGACCCCTCAGGGGATGTCCGACTACTGGTTTAGGCCCGATCCCACAGGGACTGCTGGCTCTTAACTGCTTGCCTGCCTGATTGCCTGATGGCCCCTAACCCCTCTGCCTGTATGATGGCCCCTAACCCCTCTGCCTGCCTGATGGCCCCTAACCATCTCTGCCTGCCTGATCTCCCCTAACCGCCTCTGCCTCAAACCCACACCCAGGACCCAGACTTCCCTCCCTCTGACCAGCTGCAGGCACCCGGAACCTGGGGCGGCTTTGCCCAGGCTGGCCACAGGTGCTCAGAACTGGGGGCAGGCAGCTTTGCCCAGGCTGCAGCTGCCAGCACCTGGGACTACAGGTGGGCGGCTTCTCCTGGGCCCAGCTTTGTCAGGAAGGACATCCGGAAGATGTCCAATCTAATTAGCATATTTCCCTTTTATTAGTCTAGATTATAAAGGCCTGTTTCTGGTTCCCATGACCTACTTTAAACTGAAAACCTGCTTCTCATCTAGTTGCTCACATGATATTAAAAGTCCTGGTTCAACATTTTTTTATAAACACCAAACTTTCTCCATACTTCTAAAACTACTACTTATCATTTTATTAATTCTTTTAGAAAATTTTAAACCCAATTGTCTCCCTAGAGAAACAGAATCAAGAGCCAGGGGGAAATGCCATATAATAAGTAAACCCAATATATATTTCAATTTTATTATAATACTTTCTAATTAAAAAGAAAACATACCTGTTCCTTTTTCTGAATTTGGGCTTTTTCGTTTCAGTATTATTTTTGGAAACTGGCAACTGTAAATAACAACAAAAAAGATGAGACAATTCATATGGGATGGATGAGCTCAGTAAAATAGTGGGTCCTATATGGGCCCAGTAATTTAGCCCATAGTCCTGAACAACACCCTAGGTCATTGGTCAGCAAACTCATTAATCAACAGAACCAAATATCAACAGTACAACAATTGAAATTTCTTTTGAGAGCCAAATTTTTTAAACTTAAACTATATAGGTAGGTACATTGTTATTAACTTAATTAGGGTACTCCTAAGGCTTAGGAAGAGCCACACACAAGGGGCCAAAGAGCCGCATGTGGCTCGTGAGCCGCAGTTTGCCAGCCATGGCCCTAGGTCAATTCTATGTCAACCAACTTCACAGTCCCTGCAACTGCACTGATCTGCTCAACTTCCAGGAATGGTAGGCTGATTCAGATGAATATTATCCCCTGCATCCAGGTTTGTCACCTTCACATACACATAAAAATACTAAGTAAAACAACTTTTTAAGTCTTAATACATATATGACCATTAAAGAAAGGAAAATAAATATGTATGTGCCAGAAACATGAGGAATGCAACACCATATAGGTGGGAACTGGCATGGTGAAGGCCACAAGGAATTTGTACCAGGATAGGCAAAGGACTTGGGACTGGGGTTTTAATGATTCAGCAAAGATACAATGAAGAATGTGGAGAAATTAGAACCTCATACATCGCTGAGAATGTGAAATGGTGGAGTCACTTTGGAATACAGTTTGACAGTTCCTCAAATGCTAAGTGTAGAGTTACCCTATGATCTAGCAATTCCACTGCTAGTTATATACCCAAGAGAAATAAAAACATGTCCACACAGAAATTATACATGAACATTCATAACATGATTGATAATAGCCAGAAAGTAGGAACAACCCAAATGTCCATCAGTAGATAGATAACATGTGGTATAGTCATACAATGGAATATTATTTAGTCTTTAAAAATAATGAAGTAAAGACACATACTACAATATGGATGAATCTTGAAAACATTATGCTAAGTGAAAGGTCAGAGCTGTCAGGTGGTGGGAGCTGCATGCGGGACTCCGGGAGGTCCAGGAACCAGAAATGAAACTAAGATGGCGGCATAGATAAACACCGGGAAATTGCTGCTTCCCACAACAATCGATAAATGCATCAAAAACACAAGGTGGACATCATCCAGAACTACAGGAGGGCTGGCTGAGTGTAAATTCTACAACTAGAAGGAAAGAAAAGCACACTGCGAGCGGGAGGAGCTGCGGAGGTGGAGTGCAGAGGTACGGGGGCTCGCGCGCGGAAAGGGTCTGGCACCTGAGGACGCGGCTGTCTTTTTGAATCCGGAGGGAGACACAAGCTCCCGACAGCTCTGAAATCCAGTTCCGGGAAGTCTCTGGGGACCCAGGACTAATACGGGGAGAAACTGGACTGTCTGGCAGCTGGCGAGCTTGAGAGTGGCTTTCCCTCAGAGGTGCTTGCAGCCATTGCCGGGACACTGGGACTCGCGACTCCTTAGGGCGGGGCTGAGGCTCCGCCATAGCTGCTTTCTCGCCCTTTGATTCCTTGAGACCCCGCCCCGCCCAGGCTTCGGCAGAGGCTTTTGCATATGAATGCCCCGGCCATTTGCAACCTGTAATTACCTAACCGCAGCCGGGCCAGATAGACCCAGAGCTTCCAAGAGAAGGCCCAAGGCCCCACAGCGGCTTGCATTGCTACACAGCTGAGCATCATCAGGGCACTTCCAAACTCCAAAAAAAAGGAAGGGGAATCTCCAGTTCTCTTCGTAGTTCCTGCTGTGTAACCTCAGGCAGAGGCTAAATTAGCACCTCCTTAGATCCAAGAGCCACTGTACCCAGTGGTCAGAGGGGGACCATCCAGATCACAACTCCTCAGATCCATAAGGGACACACTCAGGGTGCAGTCTCAGTGAGCACCAAAGCCCCACTGAAGCAGGTCTTGCCCCAGAAGGGTGTCTCCAGCACAGTTCTCCCACTGCAGACACAGCTGATTCTCGCTGCCAATTGCCCTGGAGGTCAATTCCTCCCAGTGATCCTACAACAACCAAGGCATAGCTACAACAAGACTGTGCACAAAGCCCACGAGGGGGTGCACCAAGAGTGTCCACCTCAGGTAACTGGGGAGGCTGAGCCACTGGGCCCTACAGGACACCTAGCACACAAAGCCACTCTATCAACACAGGGAAGCAGCCAAAATGCGGAGACAAAGAAACAGGTCACAAATGGCAGAAATGGAGGAAAGCAAATGACTGGATATAGAGTTCAAGGCCACGTTTATAAGGTTTTTCAAGAATTTTATGGAAACCGCTGATAAATTTAATGAGTCCCTCAATAAGTATAGTGAGACCATGGAGGACATGAAAAAGGACCAACTAGAAATTAAGCATACACTGACTGAAATAAAGAATAATCTACGGAGATCCAACAGCAGACAAGAGGATCCCAAAAATCAAGTCAAAGATTTGAAATACAAAGAAACAAAAAATACCCAATTGAAAAAGAAAAAAGAAAAGAGATTCCAAAAATATGAAGATAGTGTAAGGAGCCTCTGGGACAACTTCAAGCGTACCAACATCAGAATTATAGGGGTACCAGAAGAAGAGAGAGGGCAAGATATTGAAAACCTATTTGAAGAAATAATGACAGAAAACTTCCCCCACCTGGTGAAAGAAATAGACTTCCAAGTCCAGGAAGCGCAGAGAACCCCAAACAAAAGGAATCCAAAGAGGACCACACCAAGACACATCATAATTAAAATGCCAAGAGCAAAAGACAAAGAGAGAATCTTAAAAGCAGCAAGAGAAAGACAGTCAGTTACCTACAAGGGAGTACCCATACGACTGTCAGCTGATTTCTCAACAGAAACCATGCAGGCCAGAAGGGAGTGGCAAGAAATATTCCAAGTGATGAATAGCATGAACCTGCAACCAAGATTACTTTATCCAGCAAAGCTATCATTCAGAATAGAAGGTCAGAGAAAGAGCTTCATGGATAAGAAAAAGCTAAAGGAGTTCATCACCACCAAACCAGCATTATATGAAATGCTGAAAGGTATTCTTTAAGAAGAGGAAGAAGAAAAAGGAACTCTTACCATTTGCCACAGCATGGATGGAACTGGAGAGCGGACAAATACCACATGATCTCACTCATTTGTGGAATATAATGAACAACATAAACTGATGAACAAGGACTGATCCAGAGACGGAGAGGCATTGATTGGACTGTCGGGCTTTGGAGGGAGGGTAGGGGAGGGTGGGGGTAAGGGGGAAAGATCAACCAAAGGACTTACATGCAGGCATATAGGCCTAACCAATGGACACAGACAACGGGAGGGGGGGGTGAGGGCATGAGCGGGGGGTGGGGGGGTAGAGGGTAACGTGGGGACAAGGACACATATGTAATATCTTAATCAATAAAAATATATTTTAAAAAAAATAAAATAAATAAATCTTTAAAAAAAAAAAAAAAAAGAAAGGTCAGAAATGTCAGAAACAAAAGGCCACATGTCTGATTCCATTTGTCTGACACATCCAGAAAAGGCATATCCATAAAGACAGAAGTAGATTAGTAGTTCCCAGGGACTCTGGAGAGGAGAGAAATGGGCAGTGACTGCTAATGAGTATGTGGTTTCCTTCTGGGGTAATGAAAACATGTTCTAAAATTAGATAGTGGTATTGTTTTACCCAACAGTATCTATACTAAAATTCAATGAATTGTAAGAGTGCCGGGGTCCGACCCCAGCAGGTCCAGGGGTTCCCAAAGGTGTGGACGTAGTCGGCGAAGAAGGAATAACACAGAGACAGTGTTCAGTTGATCAGCAGCCTAGCCAGGATCTCCAGCCAAGTTCTGGTCTGGATCTCCAGCGAAGTTCTGGTTTGGATCTCCAGCCAGGTTCTGTGTCCATGTTCTCTTGCTAGGTTCTCCAGGTTCTCCAGCCAGGTTCTGTAGCCATGTTCCCTCGCTAGGTTCTCCAGCCAGGTTCTGTGTCCATGTTCTCTTGCTAGGTTCTCCAGGTTCTCCAGCCAGGTTCAGTCACCAGGTTCTAGTCAGGTTCTCTTGCCAATTTCTGTAGTCAGGTTCAGTCCAGGATCTTTTGCCATGTTCTCCCCAGCGAAGTTCTTCTGTCTCTAGAGAACGTTCTATGTAGGTTCTGTGCCTCCTGGTTCTGTCTTCTAAGTTCTGTCTGTAGGTTCTGTGTGTAGGTTCTGTGTAGGTTCTGTCTTCTAAGTTCTGTGTCCTGTTGTCTTGTTGCATCTGTATTTATACCAGTTGATTCCAATCCTATCAATCTCATTTCCAAAGGTTAGGGCGTTTCTTATCTCCATTCCAGGGAGTAAAGATTATGTAGCTTAAGCATGATTGTTCGTAGTTAAAATGATTAATTACCGGCCTGGCACTTAGTTAAGAGGTTTTATTCCCTCCCTAACTTCAGGGGAAAATCCCTACCTGGGGATTCAACCTTTCTCGGAGAGGTGACCTTGGTTAAAACACAGCGCCAAGAAGGTGAGCAAACATATTAAGAACCGTATGCCACATATGCCAGGTCCCTTGAAACAGCAAGAATGGACCGGCTCCTGGCATAAGAGTGAATAAATTATATCTCAACAAAGGTATAATTATAAAAAAAATTAGTGACAAAAAAATTCAAAGGAGATAGAATATACTATATCAATAACTATTAACAAAAGGAACCCAATGTAGCAACATTGCTGTTAGAAAAAAGCAGGTGTTAAGGCAAAAACCATAATCAGGGATAAAAGGGTTATTACTCAATGCTAAAAAAAGTCCACCCAGAAAGTATAATAGTCCTGAACCTGTATGTACCTAAAATCTTAGCCTTAAAATATACAAAGCAAAACAAAAGTAGAAACTGATGAATCTACAGTTAAAATAAGATATTTTAATTTACTTCTCATAAAAATTATAAAGCAAACACAAATTAGTGAAGAAATAAGAGAATTCAACAAAAGAAATAATAAATTTAATAAACACATATAAAACCTGGCACTGATTAATTATAGAATATATATCGTTTTCAAGCCTAAGATATTTGCAAATTTGATCACCTATTCAGTCACAAAGGAAGTCTCAAAAATATTAAAATAATTTCTATCTTACAGACCATATTCACTGACTAAAATGCAATAAAACAAGAAAGGAAATAAGAAATCAAAACCCAAAATATAGCTGAATAAATTTATACTCAAATTATAGATATAGAAGAACTCACATTCTCCCATGGACCTTCCTGTGATAAAAGTTATGATCTATGTCAGGATATGGTCTCATATTTTAATTATTTGTATTCAAGACTTACCTTCTCTAGGGCAGTGATGGTGAACCTTTTGAGCTCGACGTGTCAGCATTTTTGAAAAACCCTAACTTAACTCTGGTGCCGTGTCACATATAGAAATTTTTTGATATTTGCAACCATAGTAAAACAAAGACTTATATTTTTGATATTTATTTTATATATTTAAATGCCATTTAACAAAGAAAAATCAACCAAAAAAAATGAGTTCGCGTGTCACCTCTGACACACGTGTCATAGGTTCGCCATTACTGCTCTAGGGTAATGCACTTTGTCTCCATGTCCCATCATGCATACTGTAGTTGCACATGAAGTGTATGTGGGATAAATTAATGAATAATTGTTGGGAGAAAGATAGGATAAAGACATATCAGCATAGAGAAGAAATGGAGTTGATGTTACTGTCCATTCTCTACTGCCATTGTTGGTGACCTAGGCATTTAAAAAAATTCATTCCATTTATCCTCAGCTTCTAAGACAGCTCAGTGCAACTTTCACCTCAATATATTCGTTGGTTCCTTTTATTGGTTTTCACTTTAACTTACTAAAGTGATACTTTCTTAGCCTGCTTTGTCGAATTCTCTCACAGTGTTACTGATCTTTCTAATGTTGAATCAAGTATTTGAACTACAAAGGTAGGAATAATTTTTTTAAAATTTACTATATGTTTAGCAGTTAACAGAGTGACATTCACATTATACATTCAAAAGCATTAACTATGAAATGAAGACTGAATTTAATAATTCCTCCAAGTATTATTAAACAACTTAAATAACTTAATAATTACTCAAGGCAAGTTTGTATGAAATACTCATGCGGCTGAAAACTAAGTAATTATTCTTCTTTTTGTGATCTTCAATCTCAAGGAGTAATTCAATTTTTTTTTCTTTTTTTTCCCAGGACTGGAAATATAAATATTACACACACACACACACACACACACACACACACACACACACACACACACACACTGAGTGGCCAGATTATTATGACTACCTGATGTTTGTAGGAAAATTAGCTCTAATTTCACGCTGAAGTTGCTAGAGGGCCAGACCATTATAAACAGGGAAGCAGGTTGTTTACCACGACAGAAGTGATTTTTTTCTGAAGATATGGGTAAACAACGCGATTTAACAGCCTTTGAATGTGGGATATATTTGAACGTGAGTGGCCAGATTATTATGACCACCTGACGTTTGTAGGCAAATTAGCCGTACACTGCATCATATGGGATATGGAAACCCAAGGCCTGTTTGAACGCCTTTGCTGTCTGCAGTTACCAAGATCAAACGTCTCCAATTTGCACAGGAACACAAGGATTGGACAGTCGAGCATTGGAAAAAAGTAACGTGGTCCGATGAATCACGTTTCCAGTTGCATCATGCAGATGGCAAAGTGAGAATTTGGCAGAAACAGCATGAAAGCATGCACCCCCACATGCATGAGTACAAGCTGGTGGGGATAGTGTTATGGTTTGGGGCATGTTTTCCTGGCATGATTTGGGCCCTTTAATTCATGTGGAACAACGTCTGAATAACACAACATACCTAAGTATCATTGCTGATCAAGTTCATCTTATCATGTTGATGGCGTATCCCAATGGAGATGGCTTCTTCCAACAAGACAATGCGCCATGCCACGGTGCTCATATTGTGCAGGAGTGGTTTCAAGAACATCAGGGAGACTTTACCTTGCTTAGGTGGCCCCCACAATCACTAGATCTCAATCCAATTGAGCATTTGTGGGACAAAGTTAAAAGAGCCATCAGGCAGCTGGTTCCACAACCATCAAATCTCACAAAACTGGACAGTGCTATTCATCAGGCATGGTGTCAGATTCCTCGCATCACCTTTCAACATCTCGTGGAGTCAATGCCAAGAAGAATCGCCACAGTATTGAAGGCAAAATCTGGCCACTCAATATATATATATATATATATCTCCCCCATGTTCAAAGGCTGTTAAATCGCGTTGTATACCCATATCTTCAGAAAAAAATCACTTTTACTGTCGTGGTAAACAACTTGCTTCCCTATTTATAATGGTCTGGCCCTCTAGCAACTTCAGCGTGAAATTAGAGCTAATTTGCCTACAAACATCCGGTGGTCATAATAATCTGGCCACACAGAGTGTGTGTGTGTGTGTGTATGTGTGTGTGTGTGTATAATTTTGTTTATATCAGATTTATGTAATCTGCATAAACTGACTTGACATTGCCCTTTCCTTAAGTCACCTATTCATCAAAATGAAAATATTTTTAAACAAGAAGTTTGTTAGGTGTGCTAAATCTGAGGGTATAAAATTCTGATTCAGCATTTTATGCTCACAGAAGACAAATATATTTCATAACCTTCTTTTGAGAGTAACTGTCAGTCAAATAATCACTACAGAGCTGCCTACTATTATAGAATTTCTAAAAGTATATCTGTTCCTTGAATAATGTACACAAATTCTTTGTCAAAAGTTATACAAAAGAACAGCCAATGCTCTCATTTAACTGGAAAATCTGCTGGGAAAATAAGCTTGGCATAAGGATGAAAACTAGTTTCATGGAGCATTGTAAATAATGGTTATTACTTAAACTGAGTATCTGGAGAGTACCACAATAAAGTCTTCAGGCCAAGATAATGATTGTTTTTAACATTTCTTTGAAAAAGGGGAAGGTTGAAATGAGCATTTTCTAGCCCTATTTTCAACATGATTTCAACAAAGAGACTACAAATCTGCATAAATGTCCGTCAGTTACCATATGCTCCAGTCTAGCGAACCTTTAGAAGAGTTCAGTATTCCTGTGAGACTTGAATAATATCACAGATCAGTCCCTGGCAAGATGCCTTAGAGATAGCCTGCTGTCCCCTGCCCTATTTCTTCAGCCATGTGTAAGTTCACACTAAAGCACTGTGAATTTCTCTGCTGTGAGGGGCTTACCAGAGAAAACACTAAAGTGTGTATTCAAGCTGTGAGCTGAGACACAGAAAGTATCTTTCCTAAAAATAGAAGTTGGCCACTAGACCACCTTAAACAGAAGGCTTGAAAGACCTATTAAACACCTCCCAATCCCGGGTGAGGATAGAAGGAACAAGACACTTATGATTATGTACTTCATTTGATAATTTTTAAAGCCTTGGTCTTAATTTCTATACCAGGGAGAGAACATAGAAATTCAAGAGGTTTTTGTTTGTTTGTTTGTTTTTAAACAGCTCAAATTTCACTCATATCTATGAAGAGCTTAAGAATACTAAAGGCTAATCAAAACAGGGTGTCCTGGGAGGAAAGATGCCCATGAAAAGCAGAATTTATGTCACAGTTGTTTACCTGATGGAATTGAATTAGATTATGTGACCTCTAATTAGAGATGCTCTAAAAATCCAAGTCTATTGAAAATAATTCCTATTTGTGTATAGTTTTCATCTAAAGTCACTGGTTATTTTAGCAAGATGAATTCTGAAGAAGATAATGTTTCTAAGGAAGGCTTTCTAGAATATACCCATTTCAATTAAATTTTAAAAATCTGAACACAGAACAATAAATGGTTATAGTACCTATATTACACATATTTTCTGGATAGAAGAATGAATATTGAGAGCTTCATTATCTATTTTACCATTTTGTGCTCCATCAACTAGAGTAGTAAGGATCACCAGTCTGGTTCTTTAACCCATGAATTACTGTCAAGTGTTCTCAGCATTTATTGCCAGCAATGTGTAAAAGATGATCTCTCTCCTACAGAGAAATAGACAGACATTCTATCTACACAATAGCAACATTTTAAAAGAAAGATTATTCTTTTAAAAAATGTTATCTGGATCCAAGTCTTTACATCAAGTTTCTGATGATTCCAGAGGTTGAAGTGGAGGACAGTCTTAAACCCAAGTTCATATATACCTCCCTGTGTATAATCAGAATAACTATGTCCCCCAATATGTATATGAGTATAGCTGTAAGGTATGTACCTAATATACATATTTCATAGTATAGCAAATAATTTTTGGAACACAGTAGAAATATGAAATACATAAGGAAAAAGAAAGATAAATAGCACCTCAAAGTCATTATAATTTTAAAGCATTAAAAATTAATAATTTATAGGTCTTCAAAGAAAGTAAATAGGCTTACCTTGTCTAATATACATGAAAAGTTGGAAGACTGGTGGGCAGAAAGCAAATGTTTATAAATTTGAAGTTATAGGTGAGTTATCCTAAGTTAAAAGGAAATTCTACTAATTTTCACTGACACTGTATTTTTATGCAGTCCCTTTGCAAATAGGAAAACAGTAGTAATTACTATTAGGTATAGAAAGATCATTTACTATCTAATGCAACAGCTACAATTGATAAAATAAAAATTCACTATTCAAATTCCAATGATATGATATATCAATAACCACTCTACTGATGAGTAATATTGTTTTTAGTTTTAATGTAATGAATGAGGAAGATGGTGAATGAGAACTATTCTAACCTTTAAAAGAAACCCAGATTCATTTCGTGTATAGCTGGATGTTGGAGACATGCCTTATGTGTCGCTGGATCAGAGAGAAAGTATTATGCTTGTAATGAATATAGTCAGCAAAATAAATTGAAGAGCCTTTAGTCCCAAATAAAAAAGGGCAACACCTAGAAATTTCTTTTATGTGATAACTGGGACTGGAGTTGAAGAAATTTTTGTTTCTTAACAAAAAAGCAATCAAATTTAGCAGAATTCTCTTTATTGCCTTCTGGCTCAAAGTTAAAAATATAGAATATAAAATGTGGAAAATTATAGTTGAAAGTTTTGAATTTCTGGAATCTGTGACACCCACTTGGAATTCTGTAAACTTGAATTCCAAGTGGGTTTTTAAATAGGCATTATGTATAGAGAAACAAAATTAATACAATATTCTATTATTACAAATGGTGACATTCAAAATGGTATGTATTTGTTTTTCAGTAATTAGGATGAAAATAATTCTTAAAAGACAAAAGAAAAAATTGCTGACAAACATAAATTTCCTTTCACTAAGCACCAGATCAGCACATCTAAAACGAATTTTCTCAGATAAATCTCTGCACTGGGACAAATCTCTGATTTAAGAAGGCAGCACTAACTTCCCTTCCCTGTTCCCTTCCACTTTCTACAGCACCCCTTAGGGCTGCAACCCCACATAAACAGGCTGCCCAGCAGCCATGTGGATGGAAAAACTGCCCTCTATCACTACTCCTAAGCAACACATCTCCCACCACCAGCCCTGTGAACTTGGAGAAGAGCATGTTCCTCACACTAGGACACTGTTGTTTTATCTCCAGGGATGAAAACCAAAGGAGACTGCACCTCTGCTGCACTCACTCTGATGCACATTTCTCCTCTACACCCTAGCTCCTCCCAATGCCCCTGCCCATCTTAGGAGAACAAGAAGGTCAATCTGGCTGAAGTCAGATCCACTGACTGAAAGTCAAATCAAACAAGGGTTAAGCAAGTCCCAAAGTAGACTTTTCTTTTATTTAAAGATCAAATACAATCATCCACACCAGAAAACAGTTACTCTGAATCAAAGGATCTTTGCTTGCTCTCAGTAATGGTATATTATAAAAGGATATCAGAGATTAATCCATTTTGCCTAATTTTAATATTTTACTGCTAATAGTTATCCTGTAGAATTCCTATAGATTGCAATTTAAGACAAAAATAGGTAAATTTTGCAACCAAATCAAGGTTGTTTAGTTATTAAGTTACTAAAGAGTATTTTGTTAAAAATTATTCTCCTGGAAGGCTGTTTCATTACAGTACTTTCTGGTGGTAGTTTTCCTCTGCTGATTTTGAGCATAGGGTAACTGAAATTAGTATGAAAAGAACTTTCTATTTAAAGTTTCCACTAATTGATTTAAAGTAATAAATGGACAATGTTCTATATTAATTGTATGTATTTTTAACTATTTGAAAAATTCACATTAAAAGACCACATTTATATTTTAAAATTTATAATAAGAAAATTTAGGGGGGTGATAACAATGGTCTTTATTTTGATCAGGAATGGCAGTTACATAAGTGCATAACATAGAAAAAAACTCATCAAACTCTATGCTTAAGATCTGTGCATTTCACGTGTTTCACTTTGACCTCAATAAAAAATTAAACTAAGGAAAAGGTAAGTCGAATGAAAGATCACTATAGTAACTATGGCAAAATGGTGATGGAATACCTGAATGATACAATTTGGAGGACAGTGGTCCAAGGAAAAGTGAATAATGCCCACAAAGTATAAGGAAACTAAATGAGTTTGAAGCCTGACCGAGACTCTTTCCAAGGGCTTCCTCTGCTTACTATTCTTTCTGATATTTCTCTCTGCCTGGGGCTAGAAGCCAGCAAGAGGGATCTATTATAATATTTATCTTATTGGAAAGATGACTATAAAGCTAAGTGAATCAAGTGAATTGCAGTATATGAATTCCAGATTAGTAAGCAAGTTTATTAATTAACACAAATACCCAGACATCTAGTCATAAAATATAAGCAATTTATCCTTCCATTGGGCTAATGAAAATGTCCTGCTTTTTATGAAGAATTTTTGCAATAATTTCAGGAAAAATATTTTTTCATTGGAAAAAATATAACCTAAATTCCTCATACACAAATGTATAAATCAAAAGAGTGGTCATTAGTTTTGCCTTTCAAAGTTAATGAGTAGTGGGGGAAATGCCCATATATATGCACATAATTTTTATATATAAGCCAAAAAATTAGAAAAAAGAATGAAAAAGAGATTATTTTGTCATTAGTAACACATTCTTGGGGTAGCCTTAATTAGAAATATGTAATATTCTACACTGGAAAAAAAACTGAAGCAAAATGAATAAAGAGAATCCTGGGTCTATCACCTAACTTGTCTCTTTATTCATTTTGCTCTAGTTTTTTCATCTAATTGTTATCAGTAGCAATAGGAGAAAGGTTAAGTGGATTATAATATATTTTGTTTTAATGAAAAAGGAATCTTTTAAAACGTATCACAAAAGCTCTAAAGCCCCAAGAGAAAAGTTTTACTATGTAAGTATAGCTAAAGAATTACATAAAATTTAAAAGAAAAACTGAAAAAATGTTTGCAACATATTGACAACGTATTAATTTTTTAAAAATATTTTTTATTGATTTTTTACAGAGAGGAAGGGAGAGGGATAGAGAGTTAGAAACATGGATGAGAGAGAAACATCGATTCAGCTGCCTCTTGCACGCCCCCTACTGGGGATGTGCCCGCAACCCAGGTACATGCCCTTGACCAGAATCAAACCTGGGACCCTTCAGTTTGCAGGCCGATGCTCTATCCGCTGAGCCAAAACAGCTAGGGCCAAAGTATTAATGTTTAAAGAAAAAAAAGACAATGTAAAATGGCTAGAATTGGCAAGCTAAGCCAGTCATTCCCTTAAACTAATGATGGGACTGTAATTGGTACAATAATGTTGGGGGAATTTTTGGAAAAGGATGTTCAGCAAATTTGCAAAATTTAAAATGTGCTTATTACTAGAAGCCTACTTGTAGTAATTTTTCCTGTGAACATCTACAGAGATTTGTGTACAATGATGTTGTTGCTTTTTTATTTGTAATTTTGCAAATCAAAGCAACCTAAACGTCTAGGAGATAGTTCAATAAATTAAGACATTTCCATAAAATAAAATGCTCTGCAACCACTTAAGATTTGGCAGATTTGATTTGAGATGTCAATAAAATATTATTAAGGGAAACGGTAAAGTTTTAATTCATTTCATTTATGTTAAGAAAGTATATATACTTATTCATGTTATATTTAGACGTATAAAGAAATAACTGTAAATAAATGCATTAAATTAATAAAACTTGGTTTAATTAAGTGATGAATCTTATATGATTTTTAAAATTCTATCCTCCAAATATAATGTTATATTACTTTGAAAAAATAAATGATTAAAATGTGGGACTTCTTAAAAAAAAAAGACTTCTACATAATCTTAACTATCTAATAGAACTATGATGCTATTACAAGTCTGAGAATTTTAAATGTCCTTAAGTCCTTACTTTCTATCTCTTTTTAAGAAGAAATTAGGGAGAAAAGTGCTAGCATTTATTATACAAGCACCTACTAAAATATATTAACTATATGCTATTATAATTGCTTTTCATATTAACCTTTATAGCAATCATACAAGGTGATTATTATTGTTCCCAATGCAGAGATTAATTCAATGAGGTGCAGAAGTGTTAACTTGCCTAACGTCACACAACTAAGTAGCAGAACTAGCTCTTGAAAGCAGATTTGGCTCATTCATAAGTCTGTACTCTTTCCACCAAAATTTTCTGTTTCCTACATACACACACACACACACACACACACACACACACACACACACACACACTTTCCATAATCTATGGTAGGCAACACCATCAGCTACTCCTGGCATACCACTGCTATTATTCATTTAAAATTATTTTTATTTCTATGCTAATTGACTTAGATATTTACTCTGGTCTACACCAGCCTTTTGACATTCTGAAAGTACTTATTGAGCTGTTATAAATATTTTATAGTTCCTGGAATATTAGAGCAGGAAGGGACTTAGAGCAATCTAGATCTTCCTCTTCTTTTTAAAAATAAAAAACAATTAAGTGTGACTTATTCTCTTTCATTCAGACTGCTGCCATTGAGCAGAGATGTGGTCAGATGTGTGCACCTACACAACTCACATCTATCTTAACAGTAGCCACATGGATGGAGAGCTGAAGGATGGGGACTATGAGATGAGCAGAGGCTTGCAGACAGAGCTGTAACTGCACTTCTACCCTTTATAGCTAAATATATAGTTGAAATGTTACAATATGTGGAGTAGAGAATAAGTAAAGTATTCAATGAGCTCAAGAACAGTATGTTTATTCTATTTCAACTTCTCTCTCCATAATAAGCCTTCTAAATCCCTTGCCTTCTTGTCTAACATGTTGCCATATTATTTTGTACTAGAGGCCCAGTGCACGAATTTGTGCATGGGTGGGGTCCAGCCTGTCTGCCCTGATTGGGGTCAATTAGGCTGGGCTGGCCAGGGGGAAGAGATGCTGGAGGTTGGCAGACAGTACCTGTCGCTGATTGGGATAGAGGGGCGATCGGGGGGGGGGGGGGTGCTGCGGGCAGTTGGCCAGCTGGCCCTGCCCCCTGGTTGAACTCTAGGTTAAATTCTTGGTCCAGGGGACAATTTGCATATTAGCCTTTTATTATATAAAATTATTATATAGGATTATGTCACTACACAGGTATATTTCAAGTTGGTTGAGTCGTCCAGCAGTGTATTCAAAAGTTATGCCAACTGTTGGGCAGTTCTTGTTATACAGTTTGTTCCATTCATTACAAGATATTTAGTGTCCTTAAGATTTGTCATAAAAATGCCTTGTATCCACCAAAATTACTATATCACAATACATACTTTTCTACAAATTCCTAAAAGAGCCCATGTCTTTCAAACTATCTATGGAAAAGGAGCAGTTTTCCATCCAATCTGTTCAAGATATATACCTTTTAAATTTTTTTTAATTCACCATGGGGAAAAAGTCACTAGAAAAAATAAAATAAAAAGAAAATACAAAATATAAGTTCCATTTTATTATTACATTCAACAGATAAAAATTACTGTCAAATTATTATGCAAATTTATAAATTGTTACTCTCATTATTTTGTTCTTATATCATTACAGACCAAAAATAAATAGTACACAGAATGGCTATGGTCTCTTGACCACACTTTGAATAACACTTTACTAAGCACAGTACCACCATCATTGAGAAGCACTGGTAAAAATAAAGCAAACCTATATAATAGAGAGGTAATATGCAAATTGACCATCATGCCCTCACACAAGATGGCCGCCCCCATGTAGTCACAAGATGGCCACGCCCATGTGGTCACAAGATGGTCGCCACAAGATGGCTAGCAAGGAAGGGCAGTTGGGGGCGACCAGGCCTGCAGGGGAGGGCAGTTAGGGGCAACCAGGCTGGCATGGGAGGGCAGTTAGGGACAACCAGGCCGGCAGGAGAGGGCAACTGGGGGCGACCGGGCCAGCAGGGGAGGGCAGTTGGGGGGACCAGGCCTGCAGGGGAGGGCAGTTAGGAGTGACCGGGCCAGCAGGGGAGAGCAGTTGGGGGCAATTGGGCTGGCAGGGGAGCAGTTAGTTGTCAATCAGGCTGGCAGGGGAGTGGTTAGGGGGTGATCAGGTTGGAAAGCAGAAGCGGTTAGAGGCAATCAGGCAGGCAGGTAGGCAAGCAGATGAGAGCCAGCCGTCCCGGATTGTGAGAGGGATGTCAGACTGCTGGTTTAGGCAGTAGGACATCCCCCAAGGGGTCCCAGATTGGAGAGGGTGCAGGCTGGGCTGAGGGACAACCCCCCACTCTCAGTGCATGAATTTCATGCACCTGGCCTCTAGTATATAATAATGCCCATTATTATTATCCTTGTCATTTTTTATTCTAAGTATCCTTTAGCAGAGACTGAAATAAACAATTCCATCCACATTAACAATCCTGTACTACCTCACATAATCCTGTCCAAATCTCAGAGAGACACACAAGTCCTATTTCTTTTCTTTTTCAAAGGACAAGATTGCCTTCTATGATATTGCATCCCTCTCTGCAAAGGCACATCAACATTACTTAACAAGTGAAAAGTCCAGATTCTTTTTACAAGCCCAAAGCAAAGGAGTAAAATAAAATCTGATTTTAAAAGGACTCATTAAATATACATATTCAGAATACACACACACACAAATGTTCACCTCATGGCCTGTTCATTTCGGTTCATGCCCAACATCCTTTTCTGTTCTCCCAGGTTACACTCAACCTTCTCTGGATCCACTCTGCACTAACCCCATCATCAACACTGAAAATATCACAGGTATAGGCTTTCCTTTCAATCACAATTCTTTTTCCTATGACACCAATATATTATTTGTCCAGAAGAACTTACGCATTGACTCTGCTTTTTTCAGAGGTATCCTATTAAGAATATTGTCTCTTGAAGACAATGTCAAGGTTAATCCTATCCCTATCATAGTTTTGACAGTAAGTACGGTTAAACATCTCTCTGCATACAATACACTGAATGACATGTTAAATTTTTAAAATTCTTTAAGAATGCTAGTGACCTTACAAATCCCACCCCCCAAAAAATTCTAGGTTTAAATTCATTCAAATGGCTGCTGTTCTCACTTAACTTTAAAGTTAATATCATTTAAGCTGTGAATATGAATTGTTTATTATATTTTTCATGAGATTGCACACATTATAATAACATGGCATATAAAAATAAAATATTTTAGTATATGAGAGTATGCATGTGAACAATAATGTAAATAAAATAAAATTTTTATTTAAATAAAAATTTTCTATTCTAAGTTCTGATAATTCTGTAACACTGATATAACCAGAAATAATAAATTTCTAGTGTCAATCTACAAAGAAAACATAGCCAACTAACATTTAAAAGAAACATTTGATTATGTAATTTTGCTTTTAAATATTCATTTAATTTTTTTAAAAGTTGTATTAAGCAAATGGAATTTGAAGTGTGTACACTTTACATCAAAAACCATGATCTGCCAAAACCAGTTTGGCTCAGTGGATAGAGCGTCAGCCTGCGGACTGAAAGGTCCCAGGTTCGATTCTGGTCAAGGGCAAGTACCTGGGTTGTGGGCACATCCCTAATAGGAGATGTGCAGGAGGCAGCTGATTGATGTTTCTCTCTCATCGATGTTTCTAACTCTCTATCTTTCTCCCTTTCTCTCTGTAAAATATCAATAAAATATATTTAAAAAACAAACAAACAAACAAACAAACAAAAAACCATGATCTTACCCTTTTCTTGGCCACAACAGCAACTTTGTCATCTGCTTTGGAATTATCTGTAAGATAATAAAATATGGCTGCTTCAAAAAAAGTGCCTATGCTCCTGTTCAAATAAATTAAAAATTACACAATCAGAATTTTCCACTTTCTAATACTGTGATATGTGTTTTCAGTGTTGTTGTTTTTTTATCAGAATGCTAATACACTCAGCTTACCAGATTTGAGTAAAACACAGTAATTCAAAAGTTATAATAATAACATCCTGATAAACAAAATCAAAGAACAAAATAAATGTAGATATAGTTATAGATATTTGTCAATAGAAGGTCTCCATATTGTCAAGATGTGAGTTCTTCCCAACTTAATCTATGGATTCAATGCAATCTCAATCAAAATCCCAACAAGTTATTTTGTGGAAATCAACAAATTGATTCTAAAGTTTATTTAGAAAGGCAAAGGCCCAAAATAGCTAACACAATAATGAAAAGGACAAAGTCAAAGGACTGACTCTACCTGACTGTAAGACTTACCACCTATCCTATCTAATAATAGACAAACATGGTAATTGACCATACCTTCGCTATGCCTCCCATTGGCTAATCAGCACGATATGCAAATTAACCGCCAACAAAGATGGCGGCTAATTTGCATACTGCAGGCAGGGCGGGTCAGCGCCATCCTGCCTGCTCCACCACCATCCAGGCCTGCTATTTGCCACCTGGGGCGGTGGGGCAGGACAGCACGATCCCCCCTGCCCTGCCGCCATCTGGGCCTGCTATCTGCGACCCGGGGCGGCGGGCGTCCCATGTGCAACCCGACCTGGGGTGGCTGGGCGGGGCAGCAGCAATCGGCCAGCCTGCCTGGGTGTCCTGTGTACGACCCAACCCAGGGTGGCGGGGCAGGACAGCGTGGTTCCTCTGTCACCCCAGCTTCCTCATCACAGCTCCCTTGGGGGCCTAAGCCTTTAGTCAGACATCCCCTGAGGGCTCCCTGGCTGCCAGAAGGATGTCTGACTGCAAGCTTAGGCCTGATCCCCTGGGGAATGGGCCTAAGTCGACAGGTGGACATCCCCCAAGGGGTCCTGGACTGCAAATGGGCACAGGCCGGGCTGAGGGATTCCCCCCCCCCAAATTTTTGTGCACCCGGCCTCTAGTCTATATATATAAAAGCTAAGGGACCAGAAGACTGGCCATTAGCTATGATGCGCACTGACCACCAGGGGGCAGACACTCAACGCAGGAGGGAAAACCACAGGCATGGAAAAATGGAACAGACAAATGAATCTCAGAGGGAAGGGGGTGGGGGGAAGGCAGAAAGAGATTAATCAAAGATCTTATAGGCTTACTAGAGGCCTGGTGCATGGATTCGTGCACCAGTGTGGTCCCTTGGCCTGGCCTGAGGAGATCAAGCTGAAACCGGCTCTCAGACATCCACTGAAGGGTCCCAGATTTCGAGAGGGCACAGGCCGAGGGACCCCACTGGTGCACAGGGGCCTCTAGTAAAACTATAATAATCAAGACAGTGCGTATTGGGAAAGCTAATAAAAAATTGAACAATGAAATAGATTAGAGAACCCAGAAATAAACTTATATAAATACAGCCAACTGATCTTTGACAAAGAAGCAAAGGCAATATAATGGGGAAAAGACAGTATTTTCAACAAATGCTGTTGGAACAACTAGATATCCACATGGCAAAAATTTAATCTAGACAATGACCTTACATCTTTCACACAAAATAACTCAACATGGATAACACATCTAAATTTAAAATGCAAAACAATAAAACTCCCAGAAGGTAACACAGAAGAAAATCTACAAGACCTTGGGTATGCTGATGAATTTTTAGATATAACACCAAAGCAAAGTCCATAAAAAATAAATAAGCTGGATTCATCAAAATTAAAAACTGCTGCTCTGCAAATGACATTAAGAGAATGAGATGATAATCCCCAGAGTGGAAGAAAATGTTTGCAGAATACATATCTGATAAAGGAATGATATATAAAGTATACAAAGAACTCTTAAAACTTAATAAGAAAATTAACAACTGGATTAAGTAAAATACGGGCAAAGAAGATTTACAAATGGCAAAAGCATATGAAAAAGGCTGTTCATCATATGTCATTAGAGAGTTTCAAATTAAAACATTGAGATACCGCAACACACCTGTTAGAATGGCCAAATCCAGAACAATGACAACACCAAATGCTGGTGAGGATGTGGAGCAACAGGAACGGTCATTCACTGCTGGTGGGAATGCAAAATGGCACAGCCACTTTGAAAGATAATTTGGCAGTTTCTTATAGAACTAAACAATTATCCAGCAGTTGTATTCCTTGTTATTTAGCAAAGGAACTGAAAATATTTATAGCCACCCAAATATCTATACATGGGCGTATATAGCAACTTTATTCATAACTGGCAAAGCTTGGAAGCCACCAAAGTGTCCTTCAGTAGGTCAATGGATAAACTGGTACATACAAACTATGTAATATTATTCAGTGCTAAATCAAAGAGCTATAAAGACATGGAAGAAACCTAAATGCATATTTCGAAGTGAAAGAACCCAAACTGAAAAGGCTATATCCTATATGATTCCAACTATATGACATTACGTAAAAGGCAAAACTATGGAAACAGTAAAGAAATCAGTGACTGCCAGTTATTGGTGAAGAGATGGGGAAAGAGGAAGACTGGAATTCGGGGTACTTTTAGGCCAGTGAAATGATTCTGTATGATAATACAATGGTGAATACATGCCATTATACATCTGTCAAAACCATAGAAGGTACAGCACAAATAACAAACCCTAATGTAAACTATGGACTTCGGGGGATAATGATGTGTCAAAGTTGGTTCATCGATTGTAACAAATCCACTACTCTGATGAGGAATGTTGATAGTGATGAGGTAAGGAGCATATAGAAACTGTACTTTCTGCCTAATTTTGCTATGACCCTAATACTGCTCTAAAAAAATTAAGTTTATTTTTGAAAAATAATTCTGAAAAAAAGGTAGAGATACGAACATCTACTCTAAAATGTAGAGCATGTAAGAAATATTAATTCTATAATAACACAAAATCCTAAGGCTCAATTATAAAGAGACCATTCGTCTTAAAAATATAATTATAATGAATGTTCCAATATAAGAAAAAGCTTCCTAATCCCAGCAGAAGAATCGCTCATTGGGAGTAATAGTTAATACAACAGATTCAGGACAACCAAATCATGTGGACAGGATTTTAAAATGTGTCATAGTCTGACCGGGTCTATATTTACATATCATTTACTGACTCTAGATGTCTACAAAGAAAGAGCAGCATCAAACATAAACGTGAGCCAATTTCTGCAGGGCAGGAAGAATTGAGGCCCAAAATTTAGTAGTAATTATTTCTGGGTTGGAAGAAGAAATTTTGGAGTGAAGATATTCTCAAAGTTGCTGGAATTAAATAAATGGTTTGCAGGTGAGTTACTCACCTTTTGTAAAGTATCTAAATAGTAGCTAATTATCTCTCACACTACTTTTAAACAGAATAAAAAGCTAAAATGCATACTAGAATTCACCCTGAAAGCAGAGCAGACATAGGACTAAATTGTCTATTATGGAGATAGTGAAGGGTGAAAGAAAGGGAGTGAGATAGTTATGGCAAAGACTGTACTCATAGTAGTCTGTCCCCGCCCCTCCATTTTTGCTACTTTAGAGAAAATGAAAGGCTTTAGACATGAGGCTCTCAATAATCAGGCTGAATTACATAGATTCTACATGCAAAAATCATCAGACTTCCAGCAGAAAATAGTCTGCTGCTGCAGACCTGAGAGAAAATAACCTGTCTCTCTGGACAAGCCCAGAGAGGACCCATGCTCAAGGACCCAGAGATAAATAACCCGCCATGTACAAGAACAGCAAAGACAGTTCCATAACTTATTGGGAGAGTGGGTCTACTGCTCATGTGAAATGGCTGTAGTATAATTTTTTAAAATAAATGGCTATATTACTTCAGGCATTAATGTTTTAAAAAACTAAGTTATTCAAATATTATTTTGGTCACATAATAGAAATCTATAGTCCATGCAAAGGATATAATTGTATTTGTGACAACAGAGTGAATTCAACTTTTATTGCTAATAATGGAGACATTATATTTACAACACAAGGAATAAAATCACATTTATGATTATAAATGTCTCTTTTCCTGGTCTTAGAGTAAGTCAGAGTAGTGACTTGTTATTCTTTTTCTACTCGTTTCTAACCTACATATTTGCTTTAAAATCTAAAGTTAGAAAAAAAAATCTAAAGTTAGGGGGATGGATTAATATTTAAACATTTTCTCAAATAAAATGTTTTCACAAATTTCAAAATGTATATATTAAACTTTTCCAAAGGAGTAAAAAATTACTGTGATAAAGTGAAAAGGGACCTTCATAAGACAGAAAATTATTATGATTACTAAGTAGAAACATTTAAAAACACTTAAAATTATTGAAAATCAACATTTTATGTGATAATCATAATTTTTTTAGAGTTTAAAAATGTTATACCTACTATAATCCTTATGTTGAATCCATTTAAAAAGCTACGTATAAATATTTGTAATTCAAATAAGTTTCTTTGAAAATGACCTGAAATATTATTTTTTCACCTAATTAAAAAGAAAATTGAGGATTACCTTTTATCTCTCTTGAATTTATTTAAAAATACTTTGTTCTGAAATAATACAACACATCCAATGAAAGTTTCACCCCAGAAATATATTTTAAAGACAGAGTTTCCAATTTTGAAATATATGGTTTGAAATATACAAGAGGACCTATGTAGATAATCTAAGAGCAAAGATGACAGACATGCCATTTAAAACCCCTATATTTACTACAAATAGAGTGTATGTATAGTCATTGAAACTAGTTTCAGAGAGTAAAATATATACTATTAATCTACACAAAAGTAATTTTTCAGTGGACAAAGGTATAAAGAAAAAGATTTTTACTTGAGCATACACATTTTGGAAAGCACGCATCTGAATAAATCTTTATTTGGGATGGCAAAAAATAAAAAAAATCATATACCCTGTTTTGATAGGCAGCACATTTCCAGTCTTTGCTCAGGAGAATATCCATAAAGATGGTATGCTTCGTGTAGTGCACTTATATACCACTTCTTCCTTCTACTTTCATATTTTCCTGGCTAAGGAAACATAGAAAAATAAGATTCATTATAAATATATAATTGTGTTTGCATATCCACTTGATTTAGCTGTTGAAGTGGAACCAAATCTAATTTAAGCATTGTACAATATATTATTTAAATTTTGATATCTGATTATTATTGTATTATTTTAGAATATAGCAAAGTTGTAGAAATTTTGCATGTTAATAGCCAAAAGGGTCATATTCTTGATTCAAGATATTTGAATATGATTCACATAATACTTAGAAAGTTATAAAAATTAAGGCTACAAATATAACAAAGTAGTCAATGTTAACACATTTATTAGAATAATGTTGATTCCCTCTTACGTAATATAGCAAAGATGCTGTAGTGACAAAAATTGAAAAGCTAAGTTTCTTACTGTAAGAAAATTAATTCAATTCACATCTAGTTTTGGTGTTATGGAAGACAGCTGACATATTCATACAAGTTCCTTAAACTTTCTGTGCCTCAAATTCTTCATCTATAAAATGTGGATAGCTGTACATATATCAAAGCTCTCATGAGTATTAAATGAAATAATAGATGACAGTTTGCTAGAGTAGGAAGCACTCAATAAATGTTGTTCTACTTGAATACAGAACTTTTCTCTAAATGTTTATTTAGTTTTGTCAAAAATGTATTTAGAAAATAAAAACAATTGAAGAATCTTTAGGTAAAAAATGACTATAAGAATTACTTGGGTTCTTCTCAAATTCCACTTTATTCTTGGAGTCTCCAAATTAATATTTACTATCTAGTTCTCATTACACTTAATATTTTCATTTAATTATTTACTACAGTCTGACTCATATTATAGTTAATTTGCATTCATGACTATCTCCTCCCATAAAATGAAAGATCCTTGAAGACAGAAGCAATACATAATATTTCATTTTTGTATTCTCCACAGTACCCATTTGCCTAATCTCTCTGCATATTATAAAAGCATGCAGAAATTGGTTCTTAAATTGCATGTGGTCCTGGACATTGATTTATTTGGTCTAAAAGCAGCGAAGCAAAAAAATCAAATAAAAACTCTACTTTGTACACAGAATCTTTAAATTTCATTCATTAAGCTATTTCACATGATAAAAGATGAAAAGTAGAGATATACAATTCAATAAACATTAAAAAATTTACACTAAATTAAGGATATCTTAGCTAGTATTTGCCTTGAGACATTTCTGCAACTCAAAAGCTGTAAGAATGCTAAGTAAGAAGTTATAGAGAAAAATTACGGAAAATCTGATATAGCACTAAACAACTGAAGGTAAAGAAATTTCTTGAGAAAAATCAATGCAATATATAGTTACAGCGAACTTTGATAAGTTTGGGTAACTGAAGAGCTTTTTGGAAAATCTATCCGACGGTCTTTAAGAATTTATCAGTAAGTATGTGCCATCTAGTGGTAAAACAAACATCAACTCAAAAAGTTGACTCAGAATTGCGAATTCCAGAATTAGTCTCAGCTTATGGATTGCATTTTCTATGAGTTTGATTTTTAATTGAAGAACTGATAGGTGCACATTCTAAACGGATAGAAGGCACCCATTATTTCCAGTTTCTTTCAGTCTTCCAGTGATACTGTAAGCAATGGGCAACAATGGCCAACCTGTCCTCAGCTTTTGTAGTTTTAAAGATCTATGCCTTTCACTTAGACCTGAACATATCTAATAAATTTAGAACTTCTATCTTATCTCCCACCCCAAAACAAAACTCAGACAAGTTTTTAAATGCATTTAAGAAGTACATTTTCAAGGTAACTAGCAGATTTTCAAGGAGCTAAAAACTTATGAAGTCAAGAATTAAGATCAATGACTTCAGCTGAGACTATAAAAGGGCTGGGCACCTTCATATTCCAGTAAATTCTATGATCCCAAGAGGGAATATCAAGTCCTTCATTCTTTTTATATTACTGTGGCAACCTGAGTTTTCTCAGTCAGTTTCATTCAATTTGGGGTGGAGGGAAATAATAAGCAATCATCAAGGAAAGAGAAGGATGATACATAATCTGAAAATTTGTGCCAATTTATGAAAGTAAATAATACTTGACAGATGTATTCTTAATAGATGAATAGCATCCAAATATTTGGAGTAAGCATGAGGTTGGAGACTTAAACAAATGGTTAGACAGGGAAAGATAGTGCTCTAGTCTGAGAAAATTCCTGGCCGTGTCCAAAATTGAAAAGTTTGTAAGTTACTGTCCTATCTGGTCTTGTTTCAATCCAGTGTTATTGGCTGACAGAAGGCATTAATATCACTTTTACATTTCCTAGGGTTTGAGGAAGAAGCTGAATGACACTTCTCAGTAACTTTCGACTTATTGAATAAGGTTTGTGTTATCACCATACACTAATATGGAGTGTCCAGTTCAAGGAAAAGAATACGTATGTGTTTGCCCACCCAGTAAAGCCAGTGGAGAGAAATCTGTTATCTGGAGAAATTCATGTCTTCTGTTGCTTTGTATTTTTTAAATAACTTTTTAATATGTTTTTTATTGATTTGAGAGAGAAGGGAAGGGAAAGAGAAATACCAATTGGCTGCATTCTGCACACTCCACAATCCAGGCATGTGCCCTGACCAAAAATCGAACTGTCTACTTTTTGGTGCACGGGATGACGCTCATCCAATTGAACCACACTGATCAGAGCCTGTTGCTTTGTATTTACGATTGCTTCTCCACATGAGAATTAATCAAGATATAATAGCCCGGCTTTGTAGCAGGATAAATTTTACTCCACAAACTTGAATGTGTACGCAATGTCACACTATCTTATTTTTGCTAAGTTGAATGAGAAAGCCCTAATCCAACAAGGTGATTGATCTTAGTCATTTTGGAGCCATCCCTTACTTTCGCCAGGTTCACATAAATTGAGGGGGAAAAAATGTGGTGAATGAAGAGTGAGGACAGATCATTACTTTTCAACCTACAGTGGTTACATGAATAACATCTTTGTTCAGGTCCCTTGAAGTCAGGCAGTCTAACAGCTTCTTTGCCACACCTGGACAAAAGAATCTTTAAAGAGGCTGGGAACCACGATGGCATGGGTTCAATCTCCCTGAGTGCACCAGACTGTTATCCTTCTCTGAGGTCCTGCCACTACTCAGGGTACTGACAGACTTTTATCCTCTTCCAAGTCTGACAGAATCTCTTCTCTGCTATGCTGCTCCTGCCTGTCCCTCTCAGAGGTGCTGGCCTCTCATTCCCAGTCCACCCTTCCCATCCTCAAGGAACTCAGGTCAACAAGACAGACAAGCTCAGCTTTTGGTCCCCACAACAAAACACTCAGGAGACATGGGAATACTAGGGGCCTGACCACTTTCTGGAATGAGTGAAAGGGAAAAATACAATCAAAACAAATTGTTAACCAAGCACTGGTATTTGATTGGTAGGGAAGGATTTCCTAGCTAAGGGACTTTGAAGATTAGAATAATAGGCAGGTGGTAGTATTTCCACCCCTTGGCACCCTTTACTCTATCTATTGCTTTTCCTTAAATTTCCCTCATAACACTCAGCAGCAACCAGCATACCATATCTTTATTTACTTAGCTTGTTTACTATTTATCATCCCACCAATAAATTTCATAAGGGCATTTAAATTTTGTCTGTTTTGTTCACTTCTGAGCCTAGAAGAGTCACAAATAATAGGAGCTCAGTAAATATTTATTGGGTATTATAAATACACTTTTTCCCCCCAGGGTAAAACCTGGTCAGGAAATTGGTGATGAATGTGAGTGGTTGCACCCTGGCCAGGTGGCTCTGTTGGTTGGAGTGTCATCCTGTACACCAAAAGCTTGTGGGTTCAGATCCTGGTCAGGGAACATACCTAGATTGAGGTTTCATTCCCAGTCAGGTGCTTATGGGAAGCAACTAATCGATATTTCTCTCTCACATTGATGTTTCTCTCTCTCAAATCAATAAAAAACATATCCTCGAGTGAGGATTAAAAAAAAGGAAAGTGAAAGGTTGCTACATTTTAATCCTGAATTATGTGATTATGCCTAGGAAGCTAAAAGAAAAAGTTATAACATGATGACTACCAGGCCTTATGAATGGTATGATGATACTAGAGGCCAGGTGCACAAATTCGTGCACCAATGGGGTCCCTTGGCCTAGCCTGCAGGATCGGACCAAAATCTGCTCTGACATCCGCTGAGAGGTCCAGGATTGCGAGAGCGCGCAGGCCAGGCTGAGACCCCCCACCAGTGCACAATCGGGGCTGGGGAGGGACGTGGGAGTTTGGCCAGCCAGGGAGGGACCATGAGAGGGCTCCAGGGTGTATCTGGCCCATCTCGCTCAGTCCTGATCGGCCAGATCCCAGCAGCAAGCTAACCTATAGGTCAAAGTGTCTGCCCCCTGATGGTCAGTGCACATCATAGTGACTGGTCAACCGGTCGACTGTCTGCCCCCTGGTGGTCAGTAGACATCATAGCGAGTGGTTGAGCAGCCTTAGCATATCATTAGCATATTATGCTTTGATTGGTTGAACAGACAACTGGACACTTAGCATATTAGGCTTTTATTATATAGGATTACTCCTAAAATAATATAACCCTTCATTTTGTGTACAGAATTCAGATCTTTAAAGTGTTTCATAGACCACTGATTTATCCTATTATATTGGAGTATATAAAAAAATGTGTATTTAACTTCAAATACTTGAAACAGTATATAAAAAATAGTACCATATTTTAAAACAAATCAATCAAATGTTTCTTTATCTGCCCTATTTGAGGTATGGCAGAGCCTCACTACAATCCTGTAGGTACAATGATAGGGTCTACAATCCAAAATTTTAATTAGAATTTTTGTTATATCAATACTAGAGGACTGTTGCACGAAGAGATTCGTGCAATAGGCCTTCCTTCCCCTGGCTGCTGGCACCGGTTTTCCTCCAGCACCCGGGGCCCAGGCCTTTGCTCTGGCCGCAGTGGAGAAGCCAAGTCTGGAGGCTTCTCCGCTCCAACCGCAGCAGAGAAGGCAAGCCTCTTCA